CAGAATTTTACTCCTGGTATCAGGAGAACATGATACGCGGAGAGGTGGCACGAGAAATTCATGGTACGTATCGAAATTTGGACAGAATTTTACTTCTGGTATCAGAAGAACATGACATGCGAAGAGGTGGCATGAACCACATTTTAACGCGTATCATGACTTTGGAATTTGGGCGAAGGATTTGGAACAATGTTTTAAAAGAAAATAACAATATAGAAAATAATCGAGACAAATTACTGTTGTAAACCGCTTGGTTGAAATCAAATTCAATGCAATGTATATTAATAATATCTCTTTATTTCCGTTATTCAATATTGCTGATGGTACAAGTGAAAATTTGAATTTCATCGACTCGTTTGAGTACCGGTAAAAATACATTATCGCAACACATGCGATAATATCCAGAGTCCAGTGCCTTATCATTACAATATCCTTGTTTTATTTGTTTCCCCAACCCCATAAACCTTTAACGAATCCTGTAAGACCAGCCTGGCTTCCCTCCTTAGCCTGATCACCGAGTTTTTCGCTCAAATCTGGAAACTCAACCATATTGAAGGCCAGGTCAAAGAATAATGGCTTGCAAGGAATTGGTTGCGTAGACGGTGGTAATTTATAGACATTAGGTTGCTTCGTAAGAAGCGCAGGATCCTCTCTGTACTCGTGTAGACGTTCAAATAGAGGTTTCTTCGTTTTGGTGTACTTATTAGTTCCAGGTTCCTCTTCTTGTCCCTCTTCTAATACACTGTGCGCATGCGCTGAATACTTGGCAACTTCTATAGAAGTCTTCAGGTTATTGAGAGCCTCCCTCAATGATTCTGGAAGAATTTTCTCAAACTCAACCGCGTCTTTTACATGTTGTGCAGACCTCTGATACAGAGCCATTGCTTCTCGCCATCGATGAAGGTTTGCCAGTGACTGAGCCATATAGTAACATCTAAAGGCTCTATAGGCCTTCGTCTTAGCTTCCTGCTCTCGTACGAATTCCTCGTCGTCTTGCAGCTGCGAGATTTCAACAAGATTGTGGAGAGCTGCTTCGTACAGTCTCACGATATCCTGCGGCTTTGCCTTAGCAGATTCTTCCGCCACTTTGATCAAGACCAGGTTCCTTTCGAGGGTGCGTGATAGCCTGATATACTGTAGGTAAGTGATTAAATGTTGCGGCGGTGTGAGCTTATCGTTATCTTTGTTCTTAAGCTCGGTTTTAAAAAAATCTCGTACGGTTGAAATTGCGTCTTTACAATCTATCAGATGCGCTTCCAGCAAATCAATTTTAGCTTGATTCGTAGCTGCTTTTTCTAACGTTTGGTTTAATCTGGAGTCAGCAATCAAGAGACCTGCTGCTCGTGGCGGTACCACACCGCACGACTTTCCACGCCAGATTACTTCTTCAGTATTTGCCTGCTTTTCCCGTGTTTGTGCTATCAGTGAATCTAAACTGGCTAACAGTTCACCACTCAGCTGACCCCTCATTTGCATTAAGTCATCTATGGCAGTGGTATCTCCGATGTTATAGGCACAATATCTAAGGCTAGGAGCAAGCTCCTCGACGCGTGCATTGTATATTATTTGTTCAGATTCTGGTAATGCGGACGCCAGTTTTCCATATACTACCTGAGCCTTTTTTAGATTCTCCACAGCTTTCTTCCATAATTGTAATTCAAAATGTAAGGAACCATGTACCCAAGCCACGTATGCTTGAGCTTCTAGTTTGGTTCTCGCATTGCAATTGACATTCTGTAAAAATTGTTTACAATAAAAAATCTGTAAAATGTGAGTGTAGTAGTTAATTTTTACTTACCTCTATTAATTCTTGTAACTGTAGGGAATATGTAGCGGCTTTCCTTAGCCTAGATATCAAATGGAATTTCTTTCTTGGCTCTGTATTAGATTCTTGACGTAATTGCATTGCATAACTCCATGCACGTTCTGCCATTATCAATGGAACTTGTAGGAATTTATCATCGCTAACCATCGAGGGCATTATGTCTCTTCTCTTGAAATGACGTCTGTCTCCCTGTGGAACCTTTAAAACCTTACGTAGACGTCTCAATCTCCTTGTGCAGTACCCACGGTACCGCTGATAATCTCCATGCCTTAAACCATGTTGCTGCTGTGCCTCTTTTATTATTTTTAAAACTGTTTGATCGTTAAGTAATCATATAATTATATAACTCTTAAATACCTAAAAGAAAAGTGTAAAATGCCAATGGTTGTTTATAATAAATTGTGCTGATCCACCATAGCAAACAATGTCAATAGCAGCACAAACGTAAATAAAAATTGTTATACATTACAGAGGAAAAGTTTTTATGGTATTAAAAATGGCCGTATATTTATGTAAATATATTTTCTTATAGCATATGCGAACGATAATGCATTCGATTAGTAAGTAAACGATATGTCAAATAGAGGTTAGGAAATGACATATGGCATTGATAGAAGTATCGACGCGCGCGGATATTGCGTTGGAAAAGGATACTTTCCAGTGAATACGTCTTCTGACCCTTCGGTACCGTAGCATCATTAACTTGATTTTCTTTTAACGTCTCCGTAAGTTTCTCTTCGGCCACCATCATCGCGTAACCACGTATCCAATTTTCACCACAAGCTTCAACAAGCTTTATTGCCGCGAACCCGACAATCGCAAAGTAACTATCAGTAACTATAGTTCACTATAGTTTCACGGTGTTTTTCTGTCATAAACGCTGATATGGCGGTTAATTTGAACATGTTATAGCGGTATGATAACTTTTATAGTCTTACTATTTATATGTAGTAATGAAATGCAATAATATTGAAAACATTCAAAATATGAATCAAAAGTTGTTTATGAATTTACCTTCTTAATTATTTATTATAAGGATAAATAATTCATAATTAATTAAGAACAAATAAGTAGAAAGTGAAAGGAAAGTAAAAAGGATTGAAATGAAAATTAAATACAGGGTGTCCCAAAGATGTTGTAAGACCTTGAAAATAGTGGTTCAGGAGGTGATTTGAAACAACTTTTTCCTTAGCGAAAATGTTGTCCAAGGCTTCGTTGAAGAGATATTAAAGGAAAACACTGACCAATCAGAGTGCGCGGATACCGTTGGAGCGGCCGCGGTAGCGAAGGCTACAAGCTAAGCGGCCGCGCTTGTACGCGAACAAGCGACTCGACGTGCATCGAAGGACATTGACGCGGCTGCTTAGTTCATAGCCTTCGCTCCCGCGGGCGCTCCAACGGTATACGCGCGCTCTGATTGGTCGGGGTTTTCTCTTAATATCTCCTTAACGAAGCCCCATCCGACATTTTTGTAAAGGAAAAAGTTGTTTCAAATCACCTCCCAAACCACCCATTTCAAGGTGTTACAACATTTTTGGGACACCCTGTAGAAATAAAAGGTAAATAAAAAGAGGAAGCGAATGGGGTAAACGAACGCTGTTTATAAACAGTGGGCGCTGATGTTGGTTACCAGATTATAAGTAGATAACACAAATGCAAATTTATTACTTTTGATTTTCGTCGTATAATGATCTGTAAAATGAGTCTCTGAAAAGATCTCGCCTGTAAATAAAATGCTTGTACAAAAGTGTACAATAGAATCAGTTTATATATGTACCACATCACACTTCAGCTTGAATTAGTTTACATCTCGCAATATAATAACAATTTCCGTTATAGTAATAAGGTAGAAATTTCTTATTTCGTTTATTTTGTATCTTTTCACGTCTTCTTACCTGCCCGCAGAAAATACAGTTCCGACATAAGTATGTAAACAAACATTCTATACTTTAACTATTCAACGCAAATCGATAGCTCCTGTCGTATCATCTGTTTATGGATAACATTATCAGGAGTAATGTTTTACTAACAAATTATGCACATTTACGAACCTGTGCTTGCGCGTGAATACGAGCGAACAACAGGCATTGCCATCTCGATTCAGCATAAGTGAAATTCTGAGACGGATTGCCAACAGTGTGATTTGTGATATCAGATATTTACACCACAATACGAATGATTCGCGGAATAGCTACAGTTTAAATTTTGCCTTGTCTGGTGTCTCGAAAGGAGTATAATTAACAGCAAGAATGTTTTATTTGGATTACATAAATGAGGAGGATCGCAATTAATGTTCACAAGTGGCATTATCGTCTCTCGACGTGCTCTGGCCCTCGTTATCGCATCCTTCAGAACAACTTAACCTCGAACAAAATATGTTTCCACCGAAGGATCTAGGGAAAACGGATTATATTAGTTTAAATATCCAAGAAAGTGCAACATTTGCGCGAGGAACATCACGCAGTCTTTGGAGGGTAAAATCTTGTAGTATTGTGTTGAAATTTTCCGAATATTTTCATTTCCCATTTATGTTTACCTAATGGAAAATAGAATCCGTGTATTCAAGTGTGCGATTGAAACCAATATGGTTCATCTTTTTTAGCAATGGAACCAGTTATCGAGGTTTCAAAGAAATATCCTTTACTTTGTAGTCATTACGATTATATTAGTTATATTTTATCTGTTGCCTGGCGATAATAAAAATGGAGTTTTAGATGAAAACGACTACAATAACATAGAGGTAGTACAAGATACTTTTAAGTATGCAAAGGTATGATGGATAAATTATAAATTAACCAAATACTTTTAAATGAGATGTTTTGTATATTTCATAATCTTTTAAAAGTATGATATTTATAGGCAATAGAAGATATAGTAGTAGATAATGTAAATCAAGAACATAAGGATGGTGGGGAGGTTATAGAGGAACCTGAGTTCCAACCAGAAATAAACCAAGTGGACGATGATCAAATTGGAGAGCCACCTCAACCCAGACCAAACCCAATTAAATTCAATGGTAACATCATACCAAATTATTATTCCTTTAAAAGTATAAACTCAATTCAATCGTAATAATATACTTATTTAATTTTAGGTCCACAGAATAGTAGGCAAAGAGCCATAGTTGCTGCATTTAAGCACTCATGGAATGGATACAAAGAATATGCTTGGGGCCATGACAATGTAAAGCCAATATCCAGAAAACATTCTGATTGGTTTGGTTTAGGACTCACAATAGTCGATTCCCTTGACACTATGTATATAATGGGATTAAATAATGGTATACTTGAAAGTCTGATTATGCTACTGTATATTTGTAAACATTTGCAAAGTTAACGATGTTGTTTTCTACTTGCAGAATTTTCAGAAGCCAAAGCATGGGTCGATAAGAGTTTAGTGTTTACTCTAAATAGGGATGTTAATTTATTTGAAGTTACAATAAGGGTATTAGGGGGTCTGTTATCGGCATATCATCTTTCCGGAGATAAGATTTTTCTAAATAAAGCTGTAAGTTATTCCTTTGCATATTTTAGATAATATTGTTATTCGGAAAATTTTAAATACAAAATTTATGTTTTATTCAAAATCATAGGCACAATTAGGGGATCGTATGATGCCAGCATTTTCTACTTCATCTGGTGTCCCTTACTCTGATGTCAATCTTGGCACCAAAACTGCACATAGTCCTAAGTGGGGTCCCGATAGTAGCACTAGCGAAATCACTTCTATTCAATTAGAATTTCGAGATCTTAGTCGTAGTACAGGTGAACCTAAATACGAGGTAATTATAATTGTCCTTTAGCATCAGGTATTGCATATCATCTGTATCATACGTAGAAGGGTTTGTAATTATTATTCTTCAGGAAGCAGTAGCAAAAGTCTCAGAACATGTACATCAGTTAGAGAAATACGACGGTTTAGTACCCATTTTCATTAACGCTAACACTGGACAGTTTAGAGAGTATGCAACAATTACGCTTGGCGCACGTGGCGATAGTTATTACGAATATCTATTGAAACAGTGGCTTCAAACTGGGAAGACCATTAATTAGTTAGTACCTTTTGATTTCTGATCATCGAAGCGCAAAAGCTTGTTTTGTTTACTTGATGAGTTACGAATTTGTGGTAATGTACTTTAATATAAATGCTTTCAGTTTGCGAGACGATTATCTGTTAGGCATTTCTGGAACCCAAAAACACCTTGTGAAGCGAACAGCGAACAATAAATATATTTTTATCGCGGAACTAGTTGGAGCAAATAAAGAAATAAGACCAAAAATGGCAAGTAACGAGATATAAGCATTTTGATACAAGTAATCGTACCGGTATTAAGTATAATAGCATTTATAATTTTAATGTTTATCTCATAGGACCATCTTACATGTTACTTAGGCGGCACATTAGCTTTAGGTGCGCATCATGGCTTGCCGTCCGATCATATGGATCTTGCAAACGAAATCGTTAAGACTTGTTATCAGACGTATGCAATTCAACCGACATTTCTAGCGCCCGAAATTACCTACTTTAATATCCAGGTAATTAAAATAATTAAAGCTTTGTGTGAAAATCATTGTAATTCTTGTATAATCATATAAGAGACAACATTTTACATAGAATGTGGAAGGAGAGAAATCATTGGATATGTATGTAAAAATGAATGACGCGCATAATCTATTAAGGCCAGAATTCATCGAAAGTCTGTTTTATATGTGGTATTTTACTGGAAATAAAACATTTCAAGACTGGGGATGGCAAATATTTCAAGTAAGTAATTAAGAAATACTTTTCTTTAAATACGCATACACCGTTATAGTCCTATTAATGTATATTTTAATGCAACAGGCCTTTGAAAATTATACAAAAGTGGAGAAAGGTTACACGAGTATTGGTAATGTACGAAATGTTCAGAATACCCGACAACAAGACTTAACAGAAAGTTTTTGGTTTGCTGAAACTTTAAAATACTTGTATTTATTATTCGATGATACAAGGCAGTTAGTAGATCTGGATAGATGGATATTTAATTCCGAAGGACATCCATTACCCGTATATGAATCGTAACCCGATATGCTTGTTACAATATCTGCACTGTTAGTGAGCTATTAAATATCTTTTGAGGCCAGTCGATAGATACCATAACGGCATACGGTTATAACAAATTAGTTGGATTGAAACAGTCTTTTATTGGGTCTTTTGGGTTCTAGAGTGCAGATATTCTAATTTTGTTGGAAAAACTGTTCATTGCTATTAGCATATATGTAATATATGGCTATTAATATTAACGAAAGAGGTACAGAATTTATTCACAGTGCTAGCAATTAATTATAATCAATTTTTTTACTCGTTTTCTAATTTAGAAATGTATATTTTTAAGTGATTATTATAGTTGATCCCGTGGCAAATAAATTGATACAATTAATATATACCGTATTGTAGATCAAATTTGTGAAAAGTGTATCAAAATCGTCGAGTATAATGCTGTAAAATAGAAAAGTAATTTATCTGTTGCGTTTTATACTTCTATCTTTTTTTGATTTATTTGTAGCCTAATATACATACCAATTCCTTTTAAAAAGTAGAAGATTGTATACATATCAGTTTAAAAATTACTGTAACCTTGAAACGAAGTTACTTAAAAAACTATTTTCAAAGATCCTAGTCAAACCTGAATCATATTCATTTTTTTGTATTAATAGGTGTTGTAATATTTAATTAATGTAGCTGAGATATATTTTCATAATATCGCATATCCATAATAAAATAAGTTGCGACTTCTCTGAGGTACATGAACATAATACGTGAGAATAAAAAACCAATTAATTTATTATCAGATTTGTAAATTTTAAAATAGATCGTCCTCTCATTTTCCTGTATTTATTATAGAAATATTCACAATAAAACGTTGTATATCATACTTATGCTGCAATATTTTGCGAATATACTTTTTGAATTAGTATAACTATCGCTAGATATTTGTAATAGTTTTCACAATTATTTCTCATTAGAATTTAGTCCTTATTTATTGCACATATTTGTATAAAATATTAACAAAAAATGTTTAATTGTCTATCATTGATAGTATTATGATAGACAAAAGCAATTAATAAATTAAAATACTGGGTGTGTTATGTATTATAAAAATGTATCACAAAATATATAACTGTTTAATTTGTAAATAGGTATTGAGACAGTATATAACTATCATTATTTAGTCGTGAAAGATACACATTTATATACAACAAACATAGCATAGATGTTATTAAACGAATATCATCAAAGTAATCACTCACTCTATGCAAAGAGAGTAAGCATTAAAATTTGTTTTCTATTAGTATATAGTAGTATCATATAATGAAAGTCGAAACTATTTAACACACAAATTTTGATGTCCTATATTGCTATTGAATCATATAACTTCTTGAAATTTAATTAATTGTATTAAGTTTGTCGTTAAATGCTAACAATTACATGTATATTTTACAGGATGTTATACAAAGTATATATTCGTCTCAAAGAATCTGATGCAAGCATTTGATATTTTTCTATCTTCCTTGATTGTTTATAAAAATAGGGCTTTATATAAAAGTCATTAACTTGTAAAATTTCTTATATAATTGACATGGATTTTGAAACGTCATGGCAGTGCCTTTTTAATTTGTACATGTTTAAAAAACTATTTGTAATATACATTTTTTGTTAATGTATATCAAGAATATACTTCAAAGGTCTTTTCATTTACACAATTTTCTTTAACATATAATGGTTTCGATTATATATTGCGTCATAAATACTTTTTTTAATTTATTCCTTTAAATTGCAAGCTTTATATATATAATATAATGTATAAATTCTATATTATTCATAAATGTAAAATTTTACATTTGGAAACGATACTCAATCTATGTGAATGTTCGTTTTATAAGAAACTTTTAATATCATCAAAAAATGATACTTGATATCTTTAAATTTACATACATTTACGGCACTTGAGCAGTCTTTTCGAAGGAAGTTAACATTATAGTTTTACAATTTTCTAATAATCTTTATCGAAGAACTGTATCTATGTTAACAAATTTGTATGTATCGCAACATGTATTATGCATACACACAAAAATTTGTTGCATTGCATAGTTTTTACTTAAAAACAAAGGATCAAGATGCATTAAGAAGCAATTTCGTATAAATTACAACTTTGAATGCTTTGTTTGGTATAATGCGTACAAGCACTTAAGAACTAAGTTTAGTATCACTATTTGAAAATAGGAATGCATGGCAAATTATGAAATTATCATGCAGAACTCTTTATAAAATGAGATTCATCGTTTTCAGTGAATGGTTCTAGACTTCATTGTAATCTTTTTACCATACTATTTTGTTCAAGAAATTATATTACGTGGATAAACCACGTATCTAGAGTTAAATAAAACACACAACTGGAAATCAAATTCAGCAGTTCAAGGTATTAAGCAGGGTCAGTAATCTTAGATCTCATAAACTAATGAGATAGGTAATTAGTACCGAACGATAATAGTCATACTATTTCGTAAATAACTATTAATTTCACGTCGTATTTAAGTATACTATTGTAACTGATAAACAAATACTTCTGCGTTGTGAATGATTTCACCGAAGCTTCCAAAAAACCTAGTGTACATATTAATTATACAAAATATCGCAATATATGTACTTTATAAATTTTATCTAATAAATAATCATCTTATCATAAAAATCATCTTACTCTTGATTCAGTATTAGAGTTAAATTTCAGATCTTCGGCTTCCCGAAAAAAAAAAAAAACAAAAAAAAAACGAAGGAATGATCAGTGGTTTCGTCACGTTGTTAAATAGTTTACGGATTACGACGAAATATAATCGTAACCGTAATCGTTTTATCTAAGGACAGTTATTGGTCGTTTAAGAACGAGAACACGAGAGGTGTTCAACAAACGACGGTTCTAATTTTCTTTACAGTCACGCATGATCTCACGACACGTGGTGATTTTTGACCGTTAAAGTATCATGCATTCGCAGCACTGCTGCGTAAAGTATATACAGTCCACGACGCAGGAATCGTCATCGGGTTGAGTGACCGACTTCTTTGTTTCCGAATCGATTCCGTTCCTCTCGATCTTCGGTCGTGGCTCTGGTACCGGTAGAACGGTCTGCGCGATCGGTACTGCATTCTCGATCGTCTCAGTGTCGGTGGTGTCGTTATTCAAAAGTTTAGTCGTCACCGGAATGGTAGGTGTGGTCGGTGTAACTTTTCCAGAACGAGCTTCATCTGGTACATCGTAGTCTACCAGAGGTATAGAGGTCTGCAGGGGTGATGGAGAATCACTCGACATTATGACACTGAAAAAAAAAAAAGACAAAAATTAATATCTGTAAGGAACTCACTGCGATAGTGTTTTCCAAACTACACATAGAAGGCACGGTTCTTGAGAGAAAACTTTTAAAACTCTTTTTACGTTAACGCGTAGGGTCCACTAGAACTGTTTTCCAACGCAGTTTTATTTATTCGTAATGTTTTCTTGTCGCGAAATAACGTTACCTGATACTGATTGGTCGCCGTTATTTTTTAGCTAAAGTCAACACTTTGGTTACACTTCGATCAGTGATCGCTTAAATTAATTTTCAGTCAACTAATTCAAATCTCTGCATCTGTTTGAAAGTTCCTCCATAAGGAGGACAAATGAGACTAATTTTCATACTTTTTCAAATTTTTTAAAGTGTCGGTGGCATAAAAACAGGCTCATATTTATTAACAGAGCAAATTTTTGCATAAACTGAAATTATTTTTATTCGATACTTTTTATGTCTTCAGCCCGCGAAAGGTCATTTTAATCCCTCGGCTAGTTAAACAGTTACAATTTATTAAAAAAATAGGTGGCACGAAACTTTAAACAGTTGTAAACCCGACAATTTTCAACGCTTTTTTTTTTTTTTTTTTAATTTTTCGAGATACATTCAAATGTGTCGTTTATTTGTCGATGTTTTATACATATGAAAAGTTTCAAAAAAATCCGGAGCGGAATACTTCGAAAACATTCCTTGTTGGACGTCAACGGAATCCCTAATCGATGTACATGGCGCGAATCACCACGCATCTTTTATAAAGGATTCACTATACGTATCTATAAACCTTCATGAATACACTTTGAATAATAAAGTACTTAAGATGTTTTTAACTCTTCATCCGATAAAAGTAAGATCTTTCTTGTACTAAAAGAACGGAAATACTTTTTGTCTGTAGCAAGAGTAATAAAATAGAAAGAAATATTTCGTTAATTATGAATTTCTAATTTTTTTAACAGATAAGACTCTTGATATACCTGGTAACAGTCTGTAGAAATTAATACTAGTCTAGATTAATATACATTTAGTAGAATATCCTCTTTTAAATTGAAGACTCTCTCTAAATATACTGGTAGTTGAAAGGTTAATAATTTTCTATCGACGTTTAGATTACGTTGTTACGTGAATGTGGATGGTTATGAAAATTTATATTTTTAACCGACTTCGAAAAGGAGGAGGTTACGGAATCCGACATGTATGTTTCTTCTTTTCACAGACACAGAAAAAGAATTGAGACTTACGAGGCTGGTAATCAGAGCAAAGGCCAGTGGCCATTTACTCTGTAACATTATACAGAAAAGCTTAAAAATACAGTAGTAATAGCTTCTACAAGTTAAATTCAAGCTACACGTCGCTCCGTTGATCTGGTCAACTGCCGTTCTGTTATTCAGGCTCGTCACGCAGTTGACCCTGGTCTCTTTGCTATTCAACTCAAGTTAGTCTTACCCGTACCTTCGTCATAATGAACTTGAACAAATTATTATGCTCAAAGTACGTTAGATATAAATATCTTTCCGACTGAACCGTGTCAAATGCATTACAATTTGTGTTTTATAGCTGTTTTATGACTGTCTCGCGACCGTACCAATCACTACCGTACGAAGAGTGAACCGATGTACAGTGACTGTCGCTTAAAATCGTACATCTATCGATTCGATGGACTTTTTTTTTTTGTATAAAACATGAAAATCATCTTAAACGATTGAAGATCATACAGTGAGCGTAGAATGTATTCGTACATCGATCAATTTCCCAAAAAACTTTTGCGTGAAATCGTAGTTTCTTAACTTCTTCTTTTGTAATCAATGATATTTTACATATTCTCGGAAGTCTCTAAAATGGATATAGTTCAAACAACATTTACTAGTTAATATAATTTGTGAAATTAACAAAAAGAATGCGAAAGTATTTGTACGATTCTTATGACGAATCATTTACAGTAGAGTTTGTAACATAAGCACATCAGTTTATTGCTTCGTACAAATTAGAAAACATCAAATTTCTAGTAAAGAAGTCTTAAAAAATGCTGTAATACAGTAGTGGAAGAAAATCTCACCCCGAGTGACATCGACATTCAGTTAATTACAGCCTAGAAGGGTTGCAGTAATTATAAAATCAAAAAGAAATCCCACGAGGTATTAATTATTTATAAATTAACGTAAATTTGTTTGTTGTTCGTTGTTTGTTTATGAAATTTTAGAAATTTAACAATTATCTATATTATGAAGAATTTTTTATTGCTATAGCGATCGAAATTTATTTGTTATCAATAATCTAAATTGCAAATAAAGATTATAAATTCGTTACAACTCTAAGAGATCGAAAAGCAAACTTCCGTTTCAGTAAAAAATAAGATTGAAATGTACGATTGACAGTGAACATTTCGTTATAAATTATATTAACGTTATTTGAGACAAATAGTAGTCAAAATTGACTAATATCAACTTTTCCTAACGTGGAAATAGTTAAAAAC